TTATTTGGGTTTAATATATTTATAGATGGGGTTGTAAGAGAAGTAAATGCGAGGGTCTTGGCAAGAGGCGTGGATTTAAAAGTTAAAGAATCACACACAAAGTGGGAGTTGTCACAGCTGCCTCTTTGCTGATGACACTGTGCTCTTGGGAGATTCTGAAGAGAAGTTGCAGAGATTGGTGGATGAATTTGGTTGGGTGTGCAAAAGAAGAAAATTAAAGGTGAATACAGGAAAGAGTAAGGTTATGAGGATAACAAAAAGATTAGGTGATGAAGATTGAATATCAGATTGGAGGGAGAGAGTATGGAGGAGGTGAACGTATTCAGATATTTGGGAGTGGACGTGTCAGCGGATGGGTCTATGAAAGATGAGGTGAATCATAGAATTGATGAGGGAAAAAGAGTGAGTGGTGCACTTAGGAGTCTGTGGAGACAAAGAACTTTGTCCTTGGAGGCAAAGAGGGGAATGTATGAGAGTATAGTTTTACCAACGCTCTTTTTATGGGTGTGAAGCGTGGGTGATGATATGTTGCAGCGAGGAGAAGGCTGGAGGCAGTGGAGATGTCATGTCTGAGGGCAATGTGTGGTGTGAATATAATGCAGAGAATTCGTAGTTTGGAAGTTAGGAGGAGGTGCGGGATTACCAAAATGTTGTCCAGAGGGCTGAGGAAGGTTGTTGAGGTGGTTCGGACATGTAGAGAGAATGGAGCGAAACAGAATGACTTCAAGAGTGTATCAGTCTGTAGTGGAAGGAAGGCGGGGTAGGGGTCGGCCTAGGAAGGGTTGGAGGGAGGGGGTAAAGGAGGTTTTGTGTGCGAGGGGCTTGGACTTCCAGCAGCATGACGTGAGCGTGTTTGATAGGAGTGAATGGAGACAAATGGTTTTTAATACTTGACGTGCTGTTGGAGTGTGAGCAAAGTAACATTTATGAAGGGATTCAGGGAAACCGGCAGGCCGGACTTGAGTCCTGGAGATGGGAAGTACAGTGCCTGCACTCTGAAGGAGGGGTGTTAATGTTGCAGTTTAAAAACTGTAGTGTAAAGCACCCTTCTGGCAAGACAGTGATGGATGTGAATGATGGTGAAAGTTTTTCTTTTTCGGCCACCCTGCCTTGGTGGGAATCGGCCGGTGTGATATAAAATAAAAATAAAATATTATATTATATATATATATAAAATATATTATATATTTTATATATAATATATATATATTATATTCATAATATATATATACATATATTTATACATATTTTATATATATATATTTTATATATATATATATATATATATATATATATATATATACATATATTTATATATAAAATATATATTTATATATATATATATATATATATATTTATATATATATATATATATATATATTTATTTATATACATATATATATTATATTTATTATATATATATATATATTTTATATATTTTTTATATATATTTTAATATATTTTATATATATATATATATATATATATATATATATACATACATACTACATATATACATCTACATATATACATACATATATATATATATTATGCAATAAGATCACAGTAAACAGGTGATTTCAGAATATGCAAAAACAACCACTCTGAAAGAATAGAGAAATTCCAAGCGCTTTCGTGACTACTCACATTATCAAGGAACTTGATAATGGAGTAGTCACGAAAAGCGTTGGAATTTCTCTATTCTTTCAGAGTGGTTGTTTGCATGCATATATATATATATATAATATATATTATATATAAAATATATATATTATATTTATATATATATATATATTATTATATATATAAATATATATATATTATATGCAGTATTAGAATGTGGGGCAGAAGTTTGTGGTTATAGGAGGGTGGGGGCAGGAGGAAAGAGGAGTGATTGGTGGAATGATGAAGTAAAGGGTGTGAAAAAAGAGAAAAAGGTAGCTTATGAGAGGTTTTTACAAGAGAAGTGTTATAAGAAGAGCAGAGTATATGGAGAGTAAAAGAAAGGTAAAGAGGGGTGGTGAGAGAGTTTCAAAAGGAGAGCAGATGATAGAGTTTGGGGGGGCCCCTGTCAAGAAATTTTTTAATGAAAATAAGAAAAAATTTTGGAGTGAGTTAAACAAATTAAGAAAGCCTAGGGAAAATATGGATTTGTCAGTTAAAAACAGAGTAGGGGAGTTAGTAGATGGGGAGATGGAGGTATTGGGTAGATGGCGAGAATATTTTGAGGAACTTTTAAATGTTAAGGAAGAAACAGAGGCAGTTAATTTCATGCACTGGTCAGGGAGGTATACCATCTTTTAGGAGTGAAGAAGAGCAGAATGTAAGTGTGGGGGAGGTACGTGAGGCATTACGTAAAATGAAAGGGGGTTAAAGCAGTTGGAACTGATGGGATCATGACAGAAATGTTAAAAGCAGGGGGGGATATAGTGTTGGAGTGGTTGGTACTTTTGTTTAATAAATGTATGAAAGAGGGGAAGGTACCTAGGGATTGGCAGAGAGCATGTATAGTCCCTTTATATAAAGGGATAAGGGGACAAAAGAGACTGTAAAAATTATAGAGGAATAAGCTTACTGAGTATACAAGGAAAAGTGTACGGTAGGGTTATAATTGAAAGAATTAGAGGTAAGACAGAATGTAGGATTGCGGATGAGCAAGGAGGTTTTAGAGTGGGTAGGGGATGTGTAGATCAGGTGTTTACATTGAAGCATATATGTGAACAGTATTTAGATAAAGATAGGGAAGTTTTTATTGCATTTATGGATTTAGAAAAGGCATATGATAGAGTGGATAGAGGAGCAATGTGGCAGATGTTGCAAGTATATGGAATAGGTGGTAAGTTATTAAATGCTGTAAAGAGTTTTTATGAGGATAGTGAGGCTCAGGTTAGGGTGTGTAGAAGAGAGGGAGACTACTTCCCGGTAAAAGTAGGTCTTAGACAGGGATGTGTAATGTCACCATGGTTGTTTAATATATTTATAGATGGGGTTGTAAAGGAAGTAAATGCTAGGGTGTTTGGGAGAGGGGGTGGGATTAAATTATGGGAATCAAATTCAAAATGGGAATTGACACAGTTAACTTTTTGCTGATGATACTGTGCTTATGGGAGATTCTAAAAAAAAATTGCAAAGGTTAGTGGATGAGTTTGGGAATGTGTGTAAAGGTAGAAAGTTGAAAGTGAACATAGAAAGAGTAAGGTGATGAGGGTGTCAAATGATTTAGATAAAGAAAAATGGATATCAAATTGGGGAGGAGGAGTATGGAAGAAGTGAATGTTTTCAGATACTTGGGAGTTGACGTGTCGGCGGATGGATTTATGAAGGATGAGGTTAATCATAGAATTGATGAGGGAAAAAAGGTGAGTGGTGCGTTTGAGGTATATGTGGAGTCAAAAAACGTTATCTATGGAGGCAAAAGAAGGGAATGTATGAAAGTATAGTAGTACCAACACTCTTATATGGGTGTGAAGCTTGGGTGGTAAATGCAGCAGCGGGGGAGACAGTTGGAGGCAGTGGAGATGTCCTGTTTAAGGGCAATGTGTGGTGTAAATATTATGCAGAAAATTCGGAGTGTGGAAATTAGGAGAAGGTGTGGAGTTAATAAAAGTATTAGTCAGAGGGCAGAAGAGGGGTTGTTGAGGTGGTTTGGTCATTTAGAGAGAATGGATCAAAGTAGAATGACATGGAAAGCATATAAATCTATAGGGGAAGGAAGGCGGGGTAGGGGTCGTCCTCGAAAGGTTGGAGAGAGGGGGTAAAGGAGGTTTTGTGGGTAAGGGGCTTGGACTTCCAGCAAGCGTTGCGTGAGCGTGTTAGATAGGAGTGAATGGAGACGAATGGTACTTGGGACCTGACGATCTGTTGGAGTGTGAGCAGAGTAATATTTAGTGAAGGGATTCAGGGAAACCGGTTATTTTCATATAGTCGGACTTGAGTCCTGGAAATGGGAAGTACAATGCCTGCACTTTAAAGGAGGGGTTTGGGATATTGGCAGTTTGGAGGGATATGTTGTGTATCTTTATATGTGTATGCTTCTAGACTGTTGTATTCTGAGCACCTCTGCAAAAGCAGTGATAATGTGTGAGTGTGGTGAAAGTGTTGAATGATGATGAAAGTATTTTCTTTTTTTGGGGATTTTCTTTCTTTTTTGGGTCACCGTGCCTCGGTTGGAGACGGCCGACTTGTTAAAAAAAAAAAAAAAAAAAAAAATATGTATGTATATATGTATGTATATATGTATGTATATATGTATGTATATACACCTACCATCCGACTTACGACCTGCTCGACTTACGACCACTCGACTTACGACCATGTTTTTTATGCCAAATTTCTGGGAAATAAACAACTATTTGTGTTGTACAAAGTGTTTATCCTAAACCTTACAGTATAAAATACAGTACTAACAGCATAAAAAGTAAAGTAAAACGTGAAATACCAAAACAAAACAATAAAATAAAGTCATTACAAAAATGTTTTGTTGATATTCAGTAGTAAAGTTCGACTTACGACCGGTTTCTCGGAACCGAACTCGGTCGTAAGTCGGATGGTAGGTGTATATATGTATATATCGCCTGCTCTCGCGAATTCCTTGCATGTATATATGTATGCATATATGTATGTATGTATGTATACTGAACCATTTACAGCACTTCTATTACTTCTATATGATACAAAAAACTGACCTGTTGAGAAAATAAGGAAGTGTTAGCAGAGTCAAGCAGAAAGCTGCAATGCCTACAAAAATGCTGTCCTCAGCAGAGAGTGCCAGGAGGAGGCCACACTGGGACAGTAGGGCAGGGCCACAGGTCAGAGCCATGCCTAGAATGTGCATCAAAACTACCAGTGGTGCACAACTAAGTAGTCCATAATCAATCTGTGGCCACAGAGAAATGGATATAATTTACTGTACACAAAAATTATCTCAAAACATAGTTAACCTGATAATTATTCAAAATAAGGTTAGTTGCAAAATAAGGTTAGTTGCACTGGATTATTTACAATCATAAATGAAGATATGTAATGACATAATGAGTATTGTCTTTCAACTTGTACACTATAATTTGCATAACTTACAGTCTGCACAGAAAGTTATGATTCTGGCTGCAGGACAAGCTTTTGATCAATGAAACGTTTGGCAGCAGATGATTAAAGTGACTGGGTGTGCAAAACCTTTGGGTTAAACTCTCCACTGTGTTCATTGAAGCTTACATGATGGCGTATGTGATGGATAATAGTAGAAGAGGACAGTGTTTTCTTTTCTAACATTATTATCTACCAAATATGCCATAATCTGAACATCAATGAATGAAGTGCAGAATTTGACCCAATGGTGGATGAGATCACTCTGGAAGTTTCATAGCCCCACTTGCAATTGGTGTACAGTTTCTCCCAAGATCTTTTAGAAAGTCCAAACTTTAACCTTCTGTTGCCATGTTTCATTGATGAAAATTTTGCCCTGTAACAGGCACCTTATCTTTTTAGCACAGAAAATATACACATATGTATATAGCATATCATAATGCAGATGATTAAAAATTACAAAGCAATGTAATGTAACCATGCACTAATGCACATTACACATTTGCATCTACAACAACGTGAGATTTTTCTCATCTGACACACTTTAGAAATATGTCAAAAACTCATTCATGCTCAATTACCAGAGCATGATAAGACATTTATAATTGTAGTAATATTCAAGATATGTCTGAAAAGTTAACAGAAATTTAAAAAAAATACATGTTTACACAAAAGATATTACAGTACTGAATTATCTTAAAAATAAAGAGACTGGGCAACTATTCACATGATACATACATTATTTTATCAAATGTTTCTAAAACATTATACATTCTTCCTTTTTGTCTCAAACACACAAGATGACAGTACATCTTGCTACTTCTACTTACATTTGGTTCATACTACACATGCATGTACAAGTATGTGTATACACACAACTGAGCTTTCTTCTATTTTCTTAACCCTTTCAGGGTCCAGAGGCCAAATTTCAAAGGGTGCACCAGTGTCCAAGAATTTACAAAAAAAATTTTGTTATTTTTTCTTATGAAATGGTAGAGAATCTTTTTCTGAAGGTAATAAAACAAAAAGTACAAAATTTAATGGAAAATTGATGAAATTATGCTCCCACGAATTTTGATGTCAGCGATATTTACGAATCTGCGATTTTGCCGACTTTGGCTCCCATTTTAGGCCAATTACATTATTCCAGTCGACCAAATTCTTAGCTATTTCACTAGTATTACTTCTATTCTATCGATTGAGCACAAGAAATCGCCCAGTCAACTGTTTCAACTACAAAATAAAGTGATTGGAAATTGGTAATTTGGCCAATTTAACACAAAGTTCAAAATATTCCAATTTCAGAATAGGGTCCAGAATAAACAATGCAGGCATTCCTGGCACTAAACTAACATTTCCTCTGCTCATTAGTTATATTTTCAGGCTTCACAAATGAATTCCATTTTGATTTTTTATTCACATAATGAATTTTTATTCAAACCAAAAAATTGAAGATTTACTGTTATGCAATATTGTAATAATTGTATAAATATCATCATCACATTTGTGAATGTATATCAGACCCACCAGCTGGCGTGTATTAGATGTCTGAGGTCGTTTGTTTACTCTTGAACATCGGCAAAAATTTAACATTTCCGCTACTTTGAGCTCAGTTTCAAGCCATTTCCAATACTAAAACCAATCAAAATCATCTCTACTTCTGTAATATATCTTCCATTCTATCAAATGAGACCAAGAAATCGCAAATACAATTATAAAAAAATATACGAAAAAACACTGCAAAGTCGCTGTTTTAATCGAAAATCACAGTCTCAGTTTTTTTCTCTCATTATACACTGTGTGCTGCAGGATTTGTTTTATGTGGTGCACACATACCACATAGATGTATTCTCTCATATCTAGGCCCAAATTTACCACTCACAGCTTATCAAAGTGAGCTGAGCTCATGGTGTAGATCTATGGTTTGGACCCTGAACATACAGCCGTAGATCTACGGGACGGACCCTGAAAGGGTTAACAGTTCTTTTTATATTATTTCCTTTCATCTCCATGAGGAAGTGGAGAAGAATCCTTCTTCAGTAAGCCATGTGTGTCATGAAAGGCAATTAAAATGCCATGAGTAAGGGTCTAGTAACCCTTTCTCCTGTATTAGTTACTAAATTTAAAAAGAACATTTTAAAGTTGGGATGTTTGAATGTGTGTGAATGTAGTACAGATGATAAGAAAGTTGTCTGTGAATGAAAAGCTGAATGTTCTAGCTCGTAAAGAAAGCTGTCTGTGAATGAAAAGAAGCTGGATGTTCTAGCTCTAAGTAAAACACAGCTGAAGGGGGTAGGAAATTTTCATTGAGGAGAAATAAATGGGATTAGGTCAGGTGCATCTGAGAAAATTAGAGTTAAGGGGTAGCAGTAATAATGAATGATCAGTTATGGCATGGAAGGAAAAGAATGAACATAAATGTATAAATTCAAGAATTATGTGGAGTAAAATAAGGGTGGATGTATAAATTCAAGCTGGATGAAAGGTGTAGTGAGCATTTTAAGAAGGGCTGGAACAGCTACAGTATGGAAAAATGTCAACAATAAATATTGCATTAACCTTACTCTCTTTTTCAGTTGTTTGCTTTGGAGCTGCTCTTCTGCAGCACAGCTCGTGGAGTACCACAAAGCTAAGGCCTTCACCAGGACCCCACCTGCTATCATGCCAAATGGAGGCATGTATACACCTGTGGAAGTGAAATGTAGTAGTTGGCTTCACTCATACATGGTACAAGGATTTCAAGGCACAGTAGTAAAAGGATTATACCTCTGCTTCTTTCACTACCTGAACATGTTTTGACCACAAGAAATTTTCATTACTACATGTTGATTTGCAAACATTTTTAAATTCCATAAATTCCTCTCAAGAACAACTACTTTTACTGACATTTTTTTATTCTACTTTCTCACACATTCTTCAAATTATGTTTGTGTCTTCCTTGCTCTCACAAATGAAATGATTTTGCTTTGAAAATACTAGATTCTAACACATTTTGCTTTTAGAATAACTTAGCCAAAATGCAATGATTAGCTGCAGATAACTGCAGTATTGTTGGTAAGTTTAAGTCCTCATTACTTGAGAACATAAACATGGAGATATGCAGAGAAAGCTTTTCAGGCGATGCATCTGATTTTTGTTTTAATAATGCCACAGTACCACTCAGAGATTCAGAAGAAATGCAGCTGCATGTTTGTAGATAAATTTGGATGGATGTGTGAAAGATGGAAGCTGAAAATTAATATAGTAAAATAGGCAAGATAAGAATAAATAGAAACGGGAAAAAAAAGATTAAAGTCAGAATAAAAGGAAGGAGTTAGGGGGAGGTAAATGATGGGGTATTTTTGTAGAAAAAATGGGGAAAAAAAAGTTGCAGAAATCTAAAGAAGAAATTTATACAAAGAATAAGACTGTTACTGAGATCAATTTTTTTTATACAAATTCAAAGGCCCCTCAAGGGGTTTTTTAAACCCCGAAAGGTCCAAAGAAATATTTTTTCCCACTAGGCCCCAAATTATAATATATACGTTTTTTTTTTCCTCCCTTTCAAATTTGGCAGATTGGGCCCTGAGATGCCTTGTCAGCATAAATGGGTCCAAAACACTCAGTGTGTCGTATTGAAAAAACGGGACCACTTAGCACCTTGAGGAGCCCCATTCAATCCCCACTAGAGCAAACAGCGCAAAAAACCACTGGGATTCCTGATTCATGTAGTATTAACACCCCCTTTTAAAGAGAAAAGTGTTTTTGACCCTTTTTAGTGGCTTTGAGGGGGATTGCCAAAAGGGTCGGGGAAAAATTTTAAAAAACCTTGAAATAACCCATGTGCAATATTTGTCAACACCCTTTCAGAAGTCTTATAACCTATGCCCAATAAAGAGAATACCTTCCAAACCCTCCCCCCCCCCAATGTGCCGTATAATTCAAAGGGTTTAACACTCCTCCAGATTATAGACGAAATTAAATAATCGACTGAGAATAAAATTATTCTGGTCACCCAACTGTCATAGGATTTTAATCATCTTTCCACCAGAAAAGGCAAGAAAAAAATTACTGAAAAATTAGTCAGAGAACTTAACCTGTAGGTTACAATACCCTATTGTTAATTTTGTTGTTTCTGCACGGTGAACCAAAAGCCCCAATATTTTAGAAGACACCAACAATAATGAAATTTTAATTTCATAATTCAGGAGTGAATAATACAGAGTTGGGAAGAAACTGATATAAATAGTATTACTATAACATCCTACCAAAATCTCATCAAAATATTCCCTATAGAGAATATTGTTTGTAGTGGCAAAAGGTGAAAAGAAAGATGAGGAAGGTTCTAAAAGATTATTGAGAGAGCGGCAGACACCCTCAAGAACCCGTCCCAGTTGGCTAAGAGAGACAGTGCGCCACCCACGACCCTGCTCCTGCTGCTGCCCCTCTACAGTCACAGCAGCTATGCCATACCTGCAATAATAATAAGATTAATTTATTATAATATACAGTAAAATATAATCTGGAACACTTAAATTAATATCCTTTTTTTTTTTTTCAACAAGTCGGCCATCTCCCACCGAGGCAGGGTGACCCAAAAAAGAAAGAAAATCCCTAAAAAGAAAATGCTTTCATCATCATTCAACACTTTCACCACACTCACACATAGTCACTGTTTTTGCAGAGGTGCTCAGAATACAACAGTTTAGAAGCATATACATATACATATAATAATATAATAATGTATGGAAGAGGGTAAGGTACCTAGGGATTGGCAGAGAGCATGCATAGTTCCTTTGTATAAAGGCAAAGGGGATAAAAGAGAGTGCAAAAATTATAGGGGGATAAGTCTGTTGAGTGTACCTGGTAAAGTGTATGGTAGAGTTATAATTGAAAGAATTAAGAGTAAGACGGAGAATAGGATAGCAGATGAACAAGGAGGCTTTAGGAAAGGTAGGGGGTGTGTGGACCAGGTGTTTACAGTGAAACATATAAGTGAACAGTAATTTAGATAAGGCTAAAGAGGTCTTTGTGGCATTTATGGATTTGGAAAAGGCGTATGACAGGGTGGATAGGGGGCAATGTGGCAGATGTTGCAAGTGTATGGTGTAGGAGGTAGGTTACTGAAAGCAGTGAGAGTTTTTACGAGGATAGTGAGGCTCAAGTTAGAGTATGTAGGAAAGAGGAAATTTTTTCCCAGTAAAAGTAGGCCTTAGACAAGGATGTGTGATGTCACCGTGGTTGTTTAATATATTTATAGATGGGGTGGTAAGAGAAGTAAATGCGAGGGTTTTGGCAAGAGGCGTGGAGTTAAAAGATAAAGAATCACACACAAAGTGGGAGTTGTCACAGCTGCTCTTTGCTGATGACACTGTGCTCTTGGGAGATTCTGAAGAGAAGTTGCAGAGATTGGTGGATGAATTTGGTAGGGTGTGCAAAAGAAGAAAATTAAAGGTGAATACAGGAAAGAGTAAGGTTTAGAGGATAACAAAAAAGATTAGGTGATGAAAGATTGAATATCAGATTGGAGGGAGAGAGTATGGAGGAGGTGAACGTATTCAGATATTTGGGAGTGGACGTGTCAGCGATGGGTCTATGAAAGATGAGGTGAATCATAGAATTGATGAGGGAAAAAGAGTGAGTGGTGCACTTAGGAGTCTGTGGAAACAAAGAACTTTGTCCTTGGAGGCAAAGAGGGGAATGTATGAGAGTATAGTTTTACCAACGCTCTTATATGGGTGTGAAGCGTGGTGATGAATGTTGCGCGAGGAGAAGGCTGGAGGCAGTGGAGATGTCATGTCTGAGGGCAATGTGTGGTGTGAATATAATGCAGAGAATTCGTAGTTTGGAAGTTAGGAGGAGGTGCGGGATTACCAAAACTGTTGTCCAGAGGGCTGAGGAAGGGTTGTTGAGGTGGTTCGGACATGTAGAGAGAATGGAGCGAAACAGAATGACTTCAAGAGTGTATCAGTCTGTAGTGGAAGGAAGGCGGGGTAGGGGTCGGCCTAGGAAGGGTTGGAGGGAGGGGGGTAAAGGAGGTTTTGTGTGCGAGGGGCTTGGACTTCCAGCAGGCATGCGTGAGCGTGTTTGATAGGAGTGAATGGAGACAAATGGTTTTTAATACTTGACGTGCTGTTGGAGTGTGAGCAAAGTAACATTTATGAAGGGATTCAGGGAAACCGGCAGGCCGGACTTGAGTCCTGGAGATGGGAAGTACAGTGCCTGCACTCTGAAGGAGGGGTGTTAATGTTGCAGTTTAAAAACTGTAGTGTAAAGCACCCTTCTGGCAAGACAGTGATGGAGTGAATGATGGTGAAAGTTTTTCTTTTTCGGGCCACCCTGCCTTGGTGGGAATCGGCCCCCCGTGTGATAATAAAAAAAAAAAATATAATAATATCCTTATTCTAATAAATTTATAAAAAACCCCTTGTTGTATTATCAATTATGATTAACAACAATTTAACCCTGGGCCATTCTCCCACTCAGTTAGGGTGACCAAATAAGACAACATCTCATTTCACAAAGGGTGACAAAAAAGGAAATATCATTGTCACATAACTCTTCCTCCAGATCCTATCCGTCAGATAGCCCTCCAACTGCCTTCTCACCCCTCCTCAGAGTGCGGGACACTTTCTTCCCCCAGGATATAAGTGGGTAACTGGTTTCTCTTACACATTAATTCTTCTCATATTTCTGCCTATTTCCATTCACTCCTTCAAACACCTCAACAAGCTCCACAACTCAAAAGCCTCCTTCTACCCTCCCCACAAGGTGATGTGGGGAGGGACCACCAAGGGTATAATTAAGAGGGTTGAAAAGGGGTTGCTGAGGTGGTGTGGGCATGGTGAGAGGAGGGAAAGAGACAGGGTGACATAGAGGGTGTATAAATCTGGGGTGGAAGGTAGGAGGGGTAGGGATTATCCCAGGAATGGTTGGAGGGAGGGAGGGAGAAAAAAAAAGAGGCCTTGAATTTTAGGAGCTTGAGCATTCAGCAGGCTTGTGTGAATATGTTAGCTAACAGCGAATGGAGATAAATGGTTTTTAATGGACGTGCTGCTAGAATGCGAGCAAAGTAACTTCTATGAAGGGAATCAGGAAAACTTGTTAGCCGGACTGGAGTCCTGGAAATGGGAAGTATGGTGCCTGCACTCTGGAGGGGCAGCAAAGATGTCAGTATGCTTCTGGCAAGACAGTAAATGTGCTTCTATTTTTTTCAGGTCACCCTACATTAGTGGGAGATGACCTGTGTGTTAAAAATTATTAATATTAATACCTATATGTACTAGTATTATTAATACCTATACTATTGTTATTAATACCTATACTATTGTTATTAATACCTATACTATTATTATTATTATTACCTATACTATTATTATTACTATTATTATTATTTTTTTTTTAACAAGTCGGCCGTCTCCCACCGAGGCAGGGTGACCCAAAAAGAAAGAAAATCCCCAAAAAGAAAATACTTTCATCATCATTCAACTCTTTCACCTCACTCACATATAATCACTGTTTTTGCAGAGGTGCTCAGAACACAACAGTTTAGAAGCATATACGTATAAAGATACATAACATACCCCTCCAAACTACCAATATCCCGAACCCCTCCTTTAGAGTGCAGGCACTGTACTTCCCATTTCCAGGACTCAAGTCTGGCTATATAAAAATAACCGGTTTCCCTGAATCCCTTCACTAAATATTACCCTGCTCACACTCCAACAGATCGTCAGGTCCCAAATACCATTCGTCTCCATTCACTCCTATCAAACACGCTCACGCACGCCTGCTGGAAGTCCAAGCCCCTCACCCACAAAACCTCCCTTACCCTTCCTTCCAACCTTTTCGAGGATGACCCCTACCCCACCCTCCTTCCCCTACAGATTTAAACGCTCTCCATGTCATTCTACTTTGATCCATTTTCTCTAAATGACCAAATCACCTCAACAAACCCTCTTCAGCCCTCTGACTAATACTTTTATTAACTCCACACCTTCTCCTAATTTCCACACTCCGAATCTTCTGCATAATATTTACACCACACATTGCCCTTAGATAGGACATCTCCACTGCCTCCAATCGCCTCCTCACTGCTGCCTTCACAACCCAAGCTTCATATCCATATAAGTGTGTTGGTACTACTATACTTTCATACATTCCCTTCTTTGCCTCCATAGATAACGTTTTTTTTGTTTCCACATATACCTCAACACACCATTCGCCTTTTTTCCTTCATCAATTCTGTGATTAACCTCATCCTCCATAAATCCATCTGCTGACACGTCAACTCCCAAATATTTGAAAGTATTCACTTCTTCCATACTCCTCCTCCCCAATTTGATATCCAATTTTTCTTTATCTAAATCATTTGATACCTTCATCACCTTACTCTTTTCTATGTTCACTTTCAACTTTCTACCTTTACACACACACTCCCAAACTCGTCCACTAACCTTTGCAATTTTTCTTTAGAATCTCCCATAAGCACAGTATCATCAGCAAAGAGTAACTGTGTCAATTTCTATTTTGTATTTGATTCCCCATAATTTAATCCCACCCCTCTCCTGAACACCCTAGCATTTACTTCTTTTACAACCCCATCTATAAATATATTAAACAACCATGGTGACATTACACATCCCTGTCTAATACCTACTTTTACCTGGAAGTAGTCTCCCTCTCTTCTACACACCCTAACCTGAGCCTCACTATCCTCATAATAACTCTTTACAGCATTTAGTAACTTACCACCTATTCCATATACTTGTAATATCTGCCACATTGCATCCCTATCCATTCTATCATATGCCTTTTCTAAATCCATAAATGCAATAAAAACTTCCCTACCTTTATCTAAATACTGTTTACATGTATGCTTCAATGTAAACACTTGATCTACACATCCCCTACCCACTCTAAAACCTCCTTGCTCATCTGCAATCCAACATTCTGTCTAACTTCTAATTCTTTCAATAATAACCCTACCATACACTTTTCTTGGTATACTCAGTAAACTTATTCCTCTATAATTTTTACAATCTCTTTTGTCTCCCTTCCCTTTATATGAAAGGACTATACATGCTCTCTGCCAATCCCTAGGTACCTTCCCCTCTTTCATACATTTATCAAACAAAAATACCAACCACTCCAACACTGTATCCCCCCCCCTGCTTTTAACATTTCTGTCATGATCCCGTCAGTTCCAGATGCCTTACCCCCTTTCATTCTACATAATGCCTCATGCACCTCCCCCACACTCACATCCTGCTCTTCTTCACTCCTAAAAGGTGGTACACCTCCCTGGCCAGTGTATGAAATTACCGCCTCCCTATCTTCGCCGACATTTAAAAGTTCCTCAAAATATTCTCGCCATCTACCCAATACCTCCATCTCCCCAGCTACTAAGTCCCCTACTCTGTTTTTATCTGACAAATCCATTCGTTCCCTAGGCTTTCTTAACTTGTTTAACT